TTGCATCCTGTTAATGTACAACAATACTGAGGTGCAAATAGTATCCGTCACTATACGTATAAATAGCATCTAATTACTATTTAGACTTAATTCAAAGATCTGCTGCTTTACTGTAAATAGAATCGCTATTTTCATTTAGTGTAAATAGCACATCGCTAAAAATGCTGCGGTGGTCACTCAGTGTAATAATTATAGAATATATCACTGTTTTCACTTGGTGTAAATATCATCTATTGCTATTTTTGATTGGTTTCGTGGATGGATGGATCTTACAGTAATAGCCAGTTACTTCATAAAAACAGACGCCAACTCTTTAGGACCAACGTCTCTGCAGACACGGATTGAAACGTTCAAATGAACATGACACGAATTCGTTTATTCTCAACATTTTATTTGAAATTTAAGTTTTTCATGAAACACTTTTTTTCTTGTAATTTAATTTTTATTCTCAACATTTTATTGACTTTTTCTCAAAATTTTACCAGTTTTTCTAGAAACACTTTTTCTTGTAGTTTTAGTTTATTCTCAACATGTTTAGACTTTCTCAAAATTTTACAAGTTTTTCTAGAAACAGACTTTTTTTCTTGTAGTTTGTTTTCTCAACATTTTATTTGGACTTTTTCTCAAAACAACTTTTTTCTTTAAATTTAACAAGTTTTTCATGAAACACTTTTTTTCTTGTAGTTTGAGTTTATTCTCAACATTTTATTTGGACTTTTTCTTGAAATTTAAGTTTTTCATGAAACACTTTTTCTTGTAATTTAATTTTTATTCTCAACATTTTATTGACTTTCTCAAAATTTAAGTTTTTCATGAAACACTTTTTCTTGTAGTTTGAGTTTATTCTCAACATTTTATTGACTTTTTCTAAAAATTTTACAAGTTTTTCTAGAAACACTTTTTCTTGTAGTTTGTTTATTCTCAACATTTTTAGACTTTCTCAAAATTTTTCAAGTTTTTCTAGAAACAGACTTTTTTCTTGTAGTTTGTTTTCTCAACATTTTATTTGGACTTTTTCCCGAAATTTTAGTTTTTCTAGAAACACTTTTTCTTGTAGTTTGAGTTTATTCTCAACATTTTTAGACTTTTTCTAAAAATTTTACAAGTTTTTCTAGAAACAGACTTTTTTTTCTTGTAATTTAATGTTTATTCTCAACATTTTTAGACTTTTTCTCAAAATTTAACAAGTTTTTCTGGAAACAGATTTTTTTCTTGAAATGTAACGAGTTTAATCTCATATTATAATGACTTTAATCCCGAGATGGTTTTATGGTTTTTTTATTATGGCTTGGACCTAATCCCCTTCCGTAGATCCAAGTTTCAGAGTTTTTGTTTTTCACGTTGCGGTCCAGGGTCTCTGTAGAAGCTTGTTTCTGCCACAGAATAAAGATATAAAAAAATTATCTCACAATTCAGTCATTCTCTGACCGTTATATATCTCACACAAAAGTCATTAAATGTAAATAATTCTGAATTGTGAGAGAAATATTAGCAATTACTATATTTTTATTGTGGCATAAATAATCCTCCATAATGCCGAGATAAAAACGCGTCACTAGGCATCATTAGACAGGAGGATTTTCTTGAGTCTGTTTTATGGATATTTTTGAATGTGCCTTGAGGTGTTTTTAACTAAATTACTGCAGCAGTCCTGCCTGAGTCTCGATTCAGACCTTTATGCATTAGTCTGTAAATACTGTACAATATAAAGAGCTGGTGAAAATATATTTAAGAATGAAGACTTGCTTCTGCCTGATGAAATGTTTAATTTATTCTCTGTACGGATTGCTGATATGCACGCTTATATTTACATGAGATTCTTCAGCATGTTTTTGCTTGCTGGTGTTTATCGTTTGCATGAAGTTCTGTTTTTGGTCATGTTTCCAGTACTGGTGATGTGACTATTTATGAATATAGATTTATGGACATGTTTGAATTGATTTCTACTGTATAAAGTCATTCTGACGTGCAGGCTGTTTTACCGTTTCATAACATTTCATTAAAATCCTTCAAATTCAAGCGTCATTTGTGTTTTTACTCCGTTTGCCTTTTGCTTTCTGACACAAGATTATACATTTGTTAGTTTGCTTTAAAGGTGTTTTATTTCTCGACTGCTTAAAGACAGTTCTGAAATAAAAAAACAATAAATAAACTAAAAAATAAATTTGATTCCACAGAAAAAGCTTCTTTAAATCAATTACAATATAATCGGAAAAATACAAATACGAAAAAAAGAAAATCTAAAAGTTCAGCACTAAACGGCAAACTCAAAACCATCTGAACTCACACTCAAGCAGGAACATTCATATATAAATATAGATTTATGGACATATACATTGAATATCTGAATTGATTTCTACTGTATACAATTATGTAGATGTTCGGATTGTGCAATGATAGACACTGAGGTAACATGTCAACTACAAAAAAAATATGAAAAAATCCTAAATATTTAATTAGTTAATAATACATTAAAAAAATAAATATTCTAATATTACTA